CGACTTTTAGCAGTTCGAGTGAGTAAAAAAATATTATTTATCATAATTATATTAAAAAATATATATATATAGTTTTGTTCTTCGTTTCATTATGAATATTTCTGTGAAAATTTTATCTCAATATACCTATTTTTGCGAGATTTACTAAGTTTTTCATGGATAAGAGAACTTTCCTGTTTAATAATTAAATACCCCGTCGGTTTGGCGGTAGGAAAAGATTTAAATACTATCCGTCGCGGAAGGGTTAAGTATATTTGAAAGGAGGATCCTGAGATATATCTTTGGACCAGTGGAAGTAAAATGGTAAGACATACTCTTTGCAGATGTGTACTGTGTAATGTTTCTGAATATGAATTCAGCATCAGTACTTCTTTATATGAGGAATTATTTATACATTTGGAAATAATAGTACCCAATAGTAAATCAAACCGAAGGTATTAAAGCTCTAGTTCTGATAGTGAATGTAACAACCACATAGATGATACGAACCATACTCACTCTGGTGAAACATAAAGACATTTGTGAGAGCACAGGTATTGTCATATGGGACAGTTACAATATTTAGTAGAGATGTATGGTTGCACTTAATATACATGGCCACACATGCCACTAGTTGCCAGTGATGTAAAAGAATGACTTTCCATACTTTTCTACTAGTATCAAACATGGCTTCCTTTGATATTTTTTTGTTCAACATGCTGCGTCATTTTGCTCTTCTATGTGAATATGTTCTTCCATCTTTGAAAATTCTACACTAACGTTTTACAGTTCCTTCATTCATTACAGTTTGGCCATTAACCATGCACAGTGGATTTCCATGGCACTCATGTTCTTGTGTGAAGAAAGTAGATAACAGATCGAATTCTGCAGCTGATGGGATTATCAATCACACGACTCAACCTAACTCACTCTGTAGAGACAAGAACAAACACTATGTGACCAGTTATGTGATGGTTTACAAGGCAATGAGTCATGTGATGCTACTTTGCATGCACAAACTCTCCCCCATTCCTATGTTAGTTCTCTAAAATAAACAGAAGTTACTTTCTGAATAACCCTCGTACATTTAATTGTCTTTCATTTTTGTTGTTCTTACCCTTATGTAACATGTAGGTACTACTGTAAATTCACTGTTTACTTACTGTTCTGGGGCATGTGGCAGTGTAGTTGGTTAAGGTACTATGCTACAAGCTGGAAGGTCACAGATTCCATTCCTGATGAGGTCATTGGATATTTTCGAATGACCTGATCATTCCAGCCGCATTATGACGTGGGGGTGACTCAGCCTCTAACAGAAATGAGTACCAGGAAGCTTCCTGGGAATAAGGGGTGGCCAGCACATAAGGCTGACAACCTCACCGCCATCTGTGAGCTGATTGTCTAGAGAATGTGGGAGCCGTGATGTCTTTCGCCTTCATGGCCTGTTACAGGGATAGCTTTACCTTTTTTTTTACTCATTATTCTGTGGAACAAGCTGGTAATAAAATAACAAATAGTTTTGTTCTTTTCCATTTCTGTCTCTGACTTTAACATTTAGGATATGCAACATGAAACAAATAATTTTGAAGTACTTTGAATTCATGCAGCTTTTCAGTTTTCTCAGGCAAGGCGCAAACTCATGTCCCTTGATAAGTAAACTGATCTTAAGTATTATGATACTATGCTTGATAGCACATCTCACATGACAGTTGTTGTGCAGGTGACCATCACAGGGTTTGATCTGACAAGCTATCGCCAGTGTCTGACAAAGTGGAACTCTGCAATCCAGACTATGTATAACCAGTGCCGTGAAGTGGGACCCTCACGTTGCTTCATGGTATATTATGAACAACTGGTCCTGCATCCTGGTGAGTGGATGCGACGTATTCTTCAGTTCCTTGACATCCCTTGGAATGAGTCTGTTCTTCACCATGACGAACTCATCAACAAGCCAGGTGGTGTTTCATTATCCAAGTAAGTGATAAATCAGTTTTACTTATATTGTACCCTGGTTCATTGTGTGGGGTCTAACAGAATAGGAATTTCATTAACTGTATCAACTTGAAGATAGACGGAAAACACATTTCCAAAATGGCACCATTTGTATAGGTAGATAAATTAGAATGATGGACAAAATCCAAGAAATAAGTTTTGAGGTTTACTTAGCAGTGATTGTTTGGATTGCTATGTTCTGTAGTCTTGAAGGCAGATCCAACACTTTGGAGAAATGTGTTGTTGCAGGCTGCAGAGTTGTAGTATGTATGGTAAGGAAAATTAGGATGATGGACAAAGTCCAAGAAATAAGTTCTGAGGTTCTCACAGTAGTCATTGTGCAGATGGCAGTCTTCTGCATTGTGACACCATTGTAGTTTTATAGTCATGTTCAAACACTTTATGGACACCTGTTGCCTCTACCTTCTAGTTGAAGTGTGCATGGTGAGGAATCAGTTGGCTTAAGTAGTTGAATTGCAGAGGTGGTCATTCAGACCTCTGGGGTGTAGGCTCTATTCTGGGTCAGCAGGAACAATGAATAAAAAGATGGCCCTTTTGAGGGCAGTGATTGATATTGTGCATGTGTGTGTGTGTGTGTGGGGGGGGGATGAAAATTAAAATTTTCCTTTTCAGTGTTTCTATTGCCACAGAAGCTCCACCCCCCACCCCCACGTGAAAAAAATTGACCACCTTCCCTGAAATCTGAATGAACATTCCTCACCCTGCACACTTCAACCTGGAAGACAGAGGCAGCATGTTGGGCATATGATGGATGCCATGGGGATCAGTATTGTGTCACATTGCAACACTGATTTTAAGCTTCATTTTAATGTTCTTTTACCATGGCTGCTTGTAATGCTGAAAAATTTATGACATACTGGTAGTCTCACCCTGTGTTTGATTAATTTTTATTCATGGGGTGGGGTGAGACTTAATCCACTTGGTACGTTGATCACTAGTGGGCCTGTTGTACCAGGCCTAGATTATGATGACAATGATGATGGAGCACTTAGTGGAATGAGAATAATCAGGGGAAACCAAAGTATTTAGAGAAAACTTGTCCAAGTGTCACTTTGTTCACCACAAATCCCACATGACCTGATCTTGAGTTGAACCTTGGCTGTCATTGGGGGAAAGTTTACAACTAATGGCATGGCCTATATTTTGTTACTTTTAAGTAGTGTCATTCAGAAAATGAGATCACGGCTCATATGTTTGCTTTTTATTTAATTTATGTAGTGACAGCTGGTTAAGGTTTTACAAATTTTCACCAGATTTTACTCAGAAACATTTTATGCTGAGAAACAATCTCTTGAAACATGCTGGAATATGTAGTGTTGTCATATAAATTTACAGTTTATGTATCTGTTTCTATTGTTTAGTTAGCATGCACTTCTCCTTAGTGTTGAAGAATATGCATAGTCTTACTATTGCAGACTGTATTTAATTTGTACAGAACAGATATCTGATCTGTCTCATTTGTTGTAACCAATGTTGGTGTGTGTAATTATTTTTAGGGTGGAGCGGTCGTCGGACCAAGTGATAAAACCAGTAAACTTAGAAGCACTGACCAAATGGGTGGGCAACATACCAAGTGATGTCGTGCGAGACATGGCTGACATTGCACCCATGCTGTCTGTGTTGGGCTATGATCCATATGCAAATCCGCCAGCATATGGTTCACCTGATGCATTTGTTGCTGACAACACAAAGAGGATACGTGCCAATGTGCAACTTTGGGAGAACAGAGCTAAAGACTTACTTAGTCCACAACGGACGTTTCAGGATGTGAATATCGAGGATTCAGCATCAGAAGCTGCACCTGCTCCTGCTGCTGCGTGATCCCATCTTTCTTGAGGTGCTTCTTCTGTTGGGTCTTGTGTGCATCATGAAGCTTAAGGACAGAAATAAGCTAAATAAACTAAAAGATGTTCATTCTGTCTAACCCAAGACTTCCCAATATTTCATGTTTGGTTTCACACATGAATTTTAAGAACAAGTATTGTAAATAAAACCACATAATTCATTCAAGATTTAGTTAGATTCTGCTTCAGAATTTTGTTACAATTTACACACTTTGTGTTACCAAGTTGACACTGTTCCTGTATTCCTGTAGTTTTTGTGTTTCTGACATGTAATTCATTCTGTCTTCTGTATGATATTGGTAATGTTTTGCCGCATGTTGTAACACAACACAAATTGGTTGATTTCTCTTTTACACTCCCAGTTCTTAGTTAATGTCACTATGTCAGATTTTCCTGTGATATCTCACTGTAGGAGCAGCATATGAATTATGGCAAGGAAAGCCTAATTAAAGACAGTTGTAGAGGCTGATGAATGAAGTAACCATCCCTGTCACCATGTTCTAAGATGAACAGAGATAAAATTGTAGTTCTTCTTTCATTCATATTAGGACTGAAGTTTTGATCTCAGATTTTTCATGACACTTTCACTGTATCACACAATTTGCATTATGTGACCATCTACTTTACTTTCATATTCTGAGTATTTTGATTGGAGAGCTAACCTGGTTGATACACTCTGAAGAGAAACCTACTCCTCAGACCCCACTGGGATGTACTTTGCTCCTGGTCTTGCATTCTTCAGAGCTGGCCCTAGTACCAATTCACCACCAGTTATTTACAAATCTATTTGAAACTCCACAACATATCCACTCCTACACCTTGAATATGTACGGTGTAAGAAAAAGAAAAACCTTCTCACGTTTAAGTGATGCTAGTCATCAGGAGGTATGTAAAAATGCTAAATTGTTCATTTGTAATCTGTGCCTAAAGAATAGTTACATTTTCTGGCGACAGCTTTAAATTCTAGATGCATTCCTCCTTTCAGATGTGTGATTGTCAGATACCAAGAGCTAGGGATATTGAATGGCTTGAAAGTACTCATCCAATGCTAGGCCTATTGAAACCTCTTAGGGATATTACAAAACTAGAATCCTTCCATCATTTAAGGTGTATTCCAAAACCTAATTTTCTCTTCAGATGATATTTCAAAACCTTAGTAAATACTCATTAGGTGCTGGAACAGCTCAGTCACTATAATGATGGGCTATGGACTGGATGGGTGCAGTTCGATTCCCAGCAATGGAAAGAGACTTTTTCTCCACAGTACCCAGACCAGCTTTATGGCCCACCCAGCCTCCTATCCAGTGGGTACAATGGGCGCTTTCCCTGGAGGTAAAGAGGCTGGGAATGAAGCTGACCACTCATCTGCATCTAGTACTAAGGCAAAAAATGGTGGAGCTCTGCCTCCACTCCCCCATACATCTTCATGGCATGGTGCTTAATTAATCAAGCACAGGGACAACTTAATATTTAACACTCATTACAGAAAAAGTAACAACTCCATTGAATTTAAAATATGAGGGTTTACAAAGATTTAAATCATGGTTCAGTGAATAATTATGTTTTGTATTTGTGAGGTCCAGGACTTTATCCCTATTCACAGACTTGGTGCTGCTTTTCTTCAGTCTCTCTGGTGTCTTCTCATAGAAAGTTACTGTTGTGTCTTTCCATTTCAAATGATATCACATGACATTTTCAGATGGCCAGTAAATGGTATTTACTTGTAATATTTTTCAGGATGTTTTTTGCCAAGTTTGATGGAGAAACACTATCTGGTGTCTCACTGACCTACCAAGATGGACACAAGATATAATAATGACTAGACTGATTAGGGGTTCACATCCCACCTAATGAGGAAAGAAGTGTCTTTAGTTGAACTAGGTCAGAAGAAATGGAACCTGTGCTGAGTCTGCTTTTAAAGAATATTTTAACATAACAACTAGGCTATTTTAGAGTAAATGTTATGGAATTAGTTTGGCTTTTAAGAAGAAATAATTGGTTATTGTCTCTGTGTGTATGGAAGGAGTTCAGCATTATCAGAGACCACTGTAGTAGGCCTGAATATGCATATTGTCTTTTTGTTGTAGGAAGTTTCTCAAATATTTTAGTACAGTAAGTTCTTTTTCATCTCTCATTTTTACTGCTTTGCACAGGAGCACCAGGTTGTGAGTGATGCCATGTTACATGTTTCACATACACTGGTATGCTGATATTAGATGTTTTGTCTGAACTGTCTCAATACAAGTATGCACACTGGATCTGCTCAATCAGTTCAACTCCCCTTGGCTCACCTCAGCATAGACATTGGTGGTCTGCTTCTGTTTCAGGTCCATACAGACTCTAGGTGTTATGGGTAGTTTGGATGAAGAGGAAGCGATTGTGATTATCCTCATTTCAAGATATCTCACATTTTAGTAAATCTAGTGTGATGATTCAAGCATCACTAAATGCCTGAATTTATGGAAATTACAAAAACAATAAAGAAATTTTTTCCAAATGGTTGAGTTTGAGTGCAAATTGTAACAAAGAAAGTTGAATTTTGGGTGATTTATTTGGGATGTCATGCCCGTTTCAAGCTGCTGTAAACTTCCATTCCATAATACTGACATAAAACGACCAGTGGTAGAAATGTAACAGCTAAGTCTGCAGGATTTATATACCAAATCTCACTTCTCTACAAGTAATAGGACTGTCAAATCTTTTGTGATAGAGATGTTGATAGTGCAAGGAAGGATATTCAGTCAGCTGGTCACACTTATTTCAGGCACATAAGACATAAGATCTGGAACTACATACCCATATGGAAGATCATGAACTGGTACCCATAAAATACCCAGGGAGTCTCATGGGTTAAAATTTTGCTGTTTCCTCCGCCTGCACTTTTTTTATAGGTCATAAGTATAATCATTCCAGAAATATTATGCACATAGTTAGTTTCCAATATAAGCTACACGTGCCTATAATATAAAGTTGGTATTCAGTTGCCAACTGAGGCATGTGATCTTTAATAACAGCATAAGAAATAAAGAGCTTGCACATATATTACTCAGTTATTTATTAGGGTATGCAAGTATCAATTTCAGCAAACACTGTGTTTTGAAATGTAACATGCAGCATGGCAGAAAATATGGCAACATCCAGATACAAAGCAGCTATGAGAAATAACCAGTGTGTTTTACTTCTACATAGAGCCTTTCAGCATGCACAATACACATCTTGCCCTACTTCAAGTATCTGTGCAGAGGTGTTATTCTCACTAGCGTATAATACCTTTGCATGCTATAAATTGTAGATGTTTAGGCCGCTATTTTTGGTGCCATATGAATTGAATATTAAGAATTTCACCATTTTTTTAATAACTCAATGAAGGATGATGAGAAATTCTTCAACTCATTTTGGATGTCATGCGACAAGTTCTGTGATCTTTTGGATATATTACTCATAGAGAAATCCATGTAAGTTTTTGTGGTGAAATTTCTCTAGCAGGGTGGTTAACAATGGCTTTGAAGTAAGTGCTTTTTGTCTTCATTTTACATTTAGAAGTACACTTGTGTTTCAAAAGAAAATTAAAATCATTTTCTTATTGAAAAGAATTCAGTTATACACATTTTTTGGTTTTTAACATTGAGCACAAGCTTCTGTTTTCCCTTTTGAATTTTGAGGCACAACTGTGACATATTTCAATATTTATGCACAATAAATTTTCTCAGATCACTGAACATCAATCATCTATAAAAGGTGGCTGTGCAGATTTTTCACATTATGACATTATATTCATTTATGTAATGTGACGATGAGAAAGAGCACACAGCCTTCTGAAAGTTAAAAGCTGCAAAAGGAAGTAAAAACAAAAATTACAGTAAAAGTCCGTTGTGACACGCCTCACTATACTGCAGGTCTAGTCATGTTTCCCCAAATTATTCCATTTATTTTTTTTAAACAACTTTGTTTCACATTTCACCATGATTTCTTTCTTCATAAGCAACTTCATTCAAATGACTGCATCTAGTCTGTCACTATGAGTGGATAATATGGCCTTCCACATGATCAGTGATTTTCTACAGAGACACCAATATGTGTCTACATGAGAGAATACAGATGAAATAAAGCATGCATTTAAACCTACATATGGTATAATTTTTATTAGCTTACTTTCCTAAAGTAGGCTTATGCGATCACCATGCTGTCTGTATATCTGTCTCTCTGTAAATCCCCCTGTTAACTTTTGAATTCCAGAACTAATATTTATTAAACTTGGTATGTATATCATGGCATCTGAGCCCATCTTAGAGGCGTACTTCATAAATCCCTTCCATCAGTCTGTGTCTCTCTATTATTCCTCCTGTTGTTGCTAGTCAGAGGCTCAGTAAATTGCATCCCTCCTTTCATTTGCTAGGCAACAGCTCAGTAAACACTCTGTTGGCATGAATAAATGCAGCAATAGAAGATTTGTTGGATGCATATGTTTGTGAATCTGTCTGCTTATCCCTCTGTCATTGTTAGGTTACAACTCAGTAAAAATATTCTCACCACAAGGAAGAATTGTTGGAGGTGTTGTTTTTTGTGTAATCCATGTTGTATCAAAGGAAAGTATGTGATTAGTATTTCCCAGAATTTCTCGTTACTGCAATTTTATATTAAATTTGTTATAAACAAAAACTTTCATGTCAAAAGAATTCTCACAAAATTTCCTGAAATCCTGCAGGTTGCTGATAATGTGGGTCTTAATTTGGTCTTCTGACACCTGCGTAACAATGGAGTTTTAACTGTATACATTAATTAATCACTGCAATAAAGTGCTGAAATATAATATTCTATAAAGCCTGGCAATGTGGGAAGGTTCAGTGAACCCATCTCTGCTGATTATTTAAAAGGAAAAATTGAATGGATATTTGAAGCTTCAAACAAATACAACAATGATTTTCTAATTATCACAGCTGTATTGTAAAACTATTATATGTTGAATTATTAAATTGATTTGTGAATTGTTAGTGAGCAAAGAAGGTAATATTAATTATCAGGCAAACAATTTAAATTATAAACTGATTTTTATGTGGTGTAACTGTTCCAAGTACTTGAGTATTACTGATGGCTAGTATGGTATTGTCACGTATTGGGCGTATAACACGACAAATAACTTCACGCTGTATTTGATATAGCGAATTT